TGGTTAGCATACTGGGATGTTTATTCTGAAGCATCACCAAAAAGGGCCCAAGTGGCATGCAAACCAGTATACCACCAGAGCGGCCCTTCAAGATTTGTGGCCGCACTTGGGATGAAATAGCTTCACTGTATATTAAGGGAGCAGAATGGTACTGCAGAACTTCAAAGCATTAATGTGACATTATGTACCTATACTTCTGTTGTGCTTAGGTGAGTCTCAGAAAAATGCAGTGTTATCCAAAGAATCACAGGGAGTAGCAACCAAAGAGGAAGAAGCAAAGTCAGTCAACCAAACAAGTGTCCCCACATGTGGTACAAATGGGAGTCCAGGTATGCAAATTATGCATTTGATTTGCAAAATTTGAGGCTCTTGCAGCAATAAAGATATCCATGATGGTGATCTGGGTTGTGATGCTGTGTGGACCTGTGGGTTGGTATCAACATTTCAGAGGTACCTACTGCTGCTACTAAGGGCAAAAGTATGGAGTTTTGGGAAGTGGGTGGTTTTATGTAGCGTTAGAAGAATGAGGCCAAGGGGACTGGCGAGTGAGAACTTAGGAATGAGGACAAATGTAAATGGTTCAGGTCATTGGTTTACCTTACATACTACAGGATGGAATACACGCACGAACCATCTTCTAACCCAGCATGGAGAATTTATATGAATTTAAATAACCTGAAAATGGAGGACACATTGCTTTAAATTTACAGAAAATATATGCATCTACTAAAACAACTGTAACATTGCAGTTTTAATAAAATTTGTGTTGACTAGGACAGCCCTGTAAATCTGCAGAATATGTGGATGTGATTGACATTCATGTAGTAATTCATCTTTGTGTGACTCAAAACAGTGATCCATATCCCCATTAGCACAACATAAATTCAAAATGGTAATAAATTATGGTTATTTGGGCCACATTGTTCTCACCCCTGTTTAGAGAGAAGTGTTTACAGTTTGTATAAAAAAAAGATTACAAGATAATTGAATTAATTTTTTCTGTAGTTTGTAATGTTAAATATAATTTGATACGTTATCTTTTATATTGTAGTTACATGATTCTGCTATTTTTTATGTATTTAATACATGATAGCGTTTTTCTCTCAAATCAACAGGAATGAGGAAACGTGTTTGGAAATTTGGGGGCAGTGGGAGTGAGAATTCCCGCCCTAAGAAGCGACGGACTTGGGCAAGAGGTTTTATCAAGGCCAAGAACAAAAAAATGTCTATGCGTAGAATTGTGTCTTCATTTCCACCTCATGCTTCCAACCATACAGCCTCCCCTTCATCAACCAATGCCTCAACTGTAAGCATATTTAAAACACTAAATTATGTAATGTCCTAAGATGTTATCCTTTTATGCATTATTTGAACAAATCGCATAAAACAAATGCATACTATGAACGTGATATTTAAGAGCAAATATGGTATTGCGCATCACCATAAAACAAAAATGTTTACAGATACATATTTTTGGTAACTAGTAGTCGTCATTAGAACCACTGAATCCTGAAATTATTATGTTAGAGAAATGTCAATTTGAAAGAATTTTTGAAGTTGGGCTTTTAAAACTGAATCTCATAAGAGATAACATGTTCATGGTTTGAGAAACTAGTTGTGAAATTCTGCTGTTTCTAGGAGTCAAGTTGTGCATCCCTGATGCAAGATACAAGCTCACAGGGACACAAGGAAGATCGAGGACCTTGGAGAATAGATGATGCGTTTCAAGATGCCAGCAAGGAGTTTAATACCAATGATAGCAATCTCTCAAAGAATTGTCTGCTTGTAGTTAATGGTGAACATCTGAATAGTACAGCAAGTCCTACTTTGTTTGCTGATGTTGCCCTGGCAAAGACAGAGTCGTCAAATGAAGAGAACCAAGGTACAAACATTACTGGTATCAGTAATAAGCATTGAATGGGGTACAACATATGCTGTTATGCTGCTCTTGGATGCAACTACATTTTTGTTTAAAAACAGTATGTCTATAAATTGATGTGAAAGATTATGTTGACACTTTTTATTTAGGAAACCCTGTATTACATGACACAAAGTTCTGAAAATGTATTTTGTTTTAGATGTTTCTCAGACTCTGAATCGATGTTTGACACCAATGTCTTCCCACTGCCAAAGTATCTCTGAGTCATTTATTGAAGATACCCTGAATGATAATGATGCTGCTGATGATTTAATCAGCTTTTGTGATGGTGCTAGTCAAGATGATGCTGGTGAAATAGTCAGCAAGCAATGTATTAGTGTTCTCAGTAGTCAATATGTAGAGAAACAGACTGGTAAGTTAAATTAAAGGTTCGAGAAGATGGTGCCGTGTTGATTTTTTATTAAAAGAATTTCATTTCAGAGACTGGACTCTGTATCCATCCTAGGGACTAGAGCTAGTCCATATTATCAGGAGGTAGGGAATGGCTGTATTGATTGGGCCCAACAGAGTAGGTTTTATCTGATGATCGAGACAGTCCAGTCTCCAGAACGTTGTATTTATAACAGCAAATCAAGATGGCAGACAATGTCCAGAGAGTTCATTGTTTTAAGACTGGAAAGTATATTTTTAAAATTTAATCCTTATTCAATCTGCTCTAATTTTTGAAATGTCTTGATCAAGGCATATAATTCTTTGATATGTTGCTTTCTGATTTCAGGGTTTATCAGTACTTTTTCATTCTGCCCCCCCCCCCCCCCCCCCCTTGAGGCATACATTGTGGGTCATATAGGCAAGGTTACCTGATAAGGATAATTTGCTGTGGCTTAACTCTGCCAGTTAGGGGATGGGAATACTGGCTATTTCATGACTCTCTTATTACTATACATGTTATACTCTTGTTATAAATGCTTTTGCTGTGTTTTTACATGTCTGCAGTGTCATTTCAGTATTAGAAGCATCAGTTTTCTCTCTTTATTGAACGATTTCAGCCCTACAAAGTAAGATGAACTGAACTAATATATGGATATCTAGTATCATTTCTTAATGTTGTTAAATATGAGGCAGTTTTCTGGAATTGTAATAAATCAGATTTTAACTATTTATGGAAGTACTGAATAAATGAGGAAATGATGGTCTAAAAAATGTTAAGGAAGAACATTATTTGAAGGAGTTAATTTACTGTGTTCTTTTGCCTTCCTAAAAGTGCAGAAATGTTTATTGTAATATTTCTCAGATCTAGGTACAAGAACAATAGAAATTGATGTGGATGAGCTAAAGCACTTACTGGCTAGAGCTGTGAAGATAACAAAGCATTGTCAAGTGGAAACATTAGTTGAATTATACATTCAGCTAAACAAATGTGTGATCAGGCATAGTAAGTTGTGGACCAGAACATCACTACCTCAGGTAAGATGTCACAGAATTATGAAACCCGATGGATGTAATTTCTTGCTTGTAGTTTGTAGTGTATTGTATCAGTGAAATAATTTTGATATGATTATGAAAACAGTTTTGTTCTATTTCATTCAAATATATTTTTTGTGCCAAGTTTAAAAATTATATTTGCCACATTTCTGTAATACCACACATACCTTTCCCTGATATGTCGTATTTGATGATTACATTTAGTGTCTTCGCCCTTCACTGTAGTTTATGTATTGTTTGAATGTTATTTTCCAGTCTTTTATCTGCTGCTTCTGACAGTTTCTGTTTTACAGTGTGGTTTGAACAAGGATCATGCATGTTTGTTTATTCTGCCAAGTTATGTGTGTATCTTAACAACTAACAGTTATTGGTTAATAATACAAAATGTATATGGAACAGTTTAAAATGATCACATTTTGGCAGTTATAATTCGGTTTTTATATCTGAATTTTTGTAAAGCTCTTATTTGTTACTATAATTTTTATTTCAGGAACTTGAAAAAGAACTGAGTCGTTTTGAAGAACACAGTAGTAGCGACATCACTGCCAGTTAATTTGATTCCTAATTTACAACCAAACTGTGTCAAGTGCTCAAGATTGTGTCATGACCACTGCCAATGTACTATCTTCAATTCGTCCAAGCTGTCTTATCTGTTGATCGCTCAGTCAGGCAATGGATGAAGTCCAGTACAGTATTAGCCTCAAATTTAAGGGAATAGGGGCCATTGAGGTTTATAGTTCATAGTATGAAGAGTATAAGCGATGAAAAAGTGTGGACTATGACGTAAGTTACCAGACCACGTGCAATTGCAGGTTACATCATTAATTAATGAAAATATTGGGTTCTGTATGATGTGAGAGAACTTGAGTTGGTTCTATTAATGTCATTATATAGAAGATTGTGGAGATATATAGGTTTATAAGGTTGTGAGTGAAGCAGTCCCATTCTATTTTTGTCATATTTCTGTTAGTTTGTGTTGAAAAAGAAAGCATAGGTCAGAAATATGTAATTGAAAATTTGTGCTCAGGAAATCATTACTTCTAAAATCTAAGGCTGAATCACTGGAAATCTTAAGGGAATGATAGTTGAAGTCCACTGGTCGAAGGTAACAATATATTTAAATGTCGATTGATGTTATGTTATATATCTTTTATTTAGATTTGTCTTCTGTTATATATCTTCCATCATGCAGTTAGATACATTGATATTAATGTGTAGTTCCCTTTGTAATAACTTTTTTAAAAGTATTACCTTGAGACTATTTGGGCTAAATTTAAAACAGGTTATCAGTAATAATCACATGATAGCTGTTTGTACTAACTGATTATTTATAGTGATTTAAAGAAGTTTGTATGGAAAGGAGATAGATAGGTCAAGGCATTTTCTGGCTAGAAATGCAATGCTGAGAACCAGGCTTAGCTTATAATTTAGATGAACTGTTAACTTATTTTTGTGTTTTATTGTGTGAAGTATTTCATAAGCAGGTCAAGTGTCTATTAGGTAACAAAATGGCTTGCTTCTGTCTTCTTGTTCACTGGTATATAATATATTATTTGAATCAACTTGTGATCTCTTAATGACATAGATGTTTTTATTGTGTAATACCTTTAGAAAAGCTAATTTATTGATTCAATTTTAAAATTAGTATGTTTTATAAAAATATATATATACTACAGTTTAGGGAACTTACAGATATCTCTCTCTTTATGTTAAGTAAATGGGAATAAAGTTTGATTTAAAAATTGAAAAATGCTAAGGACTTATTGTAGATGAGAATTGTCATAAGAACAAGATACTTTTATAATATAGTGCAGAAAAGGACTGAGAATTGTCAAATATTGTATGATGTTTTTGAATGTAAGGAGGTGAACACTAAGTTCCAGTTATGTTTATTTTCTGTTTCCTTGATATGATTGAAATTTATACATTAATGGATATTTAATTTGCTATTTAAAGTGTGATTGACCAGCTGCTTCTATTTGAGAGATTATGTTTGATATTATGTCGTCTGCTGCTGATTTTTTTCTAAACTAGATAATTTGGTACCACTTCTTTATTTTCACTTTAAGTAGGATAATTATTTGGGATAAACTGAAGTAGATTGATAAGGATAGCTGCAGCACTTCATAGATAACTAATTTCTTTGCATTTGGAATTGTAAGTTTGAAACAAGGGGACCATTTTTTCTCTCATGCTCTGATTTTGTTGCTGCTGAAAGGCAGTTTCTGTTTTCTGGTTTGTGCCAAACTCATGTGTGTATTGAACTGTGGAGAATGGAAATCATACAACAAAGCAACACGAAACTAGTCAGAGAGCATTTAATAGTTATAAAGTAATTTTAACCTGTACATTCGTTGGATTTCTTGCCATGTACTTTATCCCAGTGAGTGAAATATTCTTCATAACTGCAAAATCCAAAACAAAATTTCAATGTAGTTTCACTGATATACAACAAGCAAAAATGATCAACATTCTAAAACTAAGAAAATGTAAGTTTAACATGCATGCTGTGTGTGCTCCAGTTCCATTTACATACAAATATATGTTCATACTTGTTAGAGGGTTAATGGACACATTTTTGCAATCAGAATAATTTATTTTAAAACAAGTTTAGATTTCATATGTTCAAATTCTTTATAATATGTTGGTCTGATGTTTCCAGTAACTTGTTCAGGATTGGTCACTTGGTTTCTGACATTTGTTGCCTAGCAGATGTCACTACAGTATATTCCGTAAGTTTGAAATAATGGACGGCATTGTAGTTTTGACGTAGCTAATGCAAGATGTGAATTGTTTGTAGTATGACATCATTGTCTGGTAACAGTTCTGTCCCAAAGATGCACGACATGTATTTTACTGCGTACACCCTGGCTTTCAGATGGTCCCTTAGGTAGAAGTCAAGATATGTAAGGTCAGGAGACTGGTGGTCATTCCACTGGTCCCCCACATTCCAGTCCAGTGTTGAGGCAACTGTTCATTTAATCAATTGCAGTTTGTAAGGATACCATTGATTTGTCTGTAAAATGTGGTGAATACTATGAATTTTGACACCCCATTTTTTTGCAGTCATGCAGTGCAGAGATTTCTTTTGGCTGAATGTAAATCTTCTTTGATTCTTCTGTGTTCCATTCGTCTGTAGGATACTAATTTTCTGGTGTCAGATTTAGAATATGTGATTCAGATATTCACTGTACTGTCCATTTTCAGATTTTATTATAAGTGATATGTGTAGATATATATCAGTATTGGAAGTGTTTGTGGAATCGGCCCTTTTAATGTTACAATGTAATCTGACCATTTGCACTGTATCATTGTGGTCATAAACTCACCACCTGACATTGTCCTTTTCTTTTTCATGGCTACTTAAAGAAAATGGTAGCAATTTTAGGATTGGCCCGTCGTGGTTATATTGTATACCAATTTTGTTATAAATATTCCACAATCTTGTTATTTTGGATTTCAGAGAACATGATCAAATAATTATTATTTAATCTGTCAAATGGTAAGAGGCTGGTAAATTTTTTTTTGTATTGACGTAATTTTTGGGTTTGGAATGAAATGAATTTATGTAATCTGAGTTTTGCAGAGATCGTGACAGTCTTACATGTTTATGTTTGAATTATGTATCTATTAATTTATTATTGAACCTGGTGATGGAATAGATGCTTGTGAATTTACATTTTACCAAATTGTTGTGCAAGGTCTACAGAATAAATGTTTATGTGGCTGAAATACAAAGAAACAATGCAAATCTTTGTTAGCAGCCACTTTAATCTATTGCCATGTCATAAGCAATAGCATTAGAGGTGCATGCTTTCAGACATCTGATTACGAGGTTTAGGTCTGTTCATGTGTGTAAAGCCTGATTTGAAAACAAGCTATGTCAGATTTTTTGCGAGGATGTTATGTGATTTGCATTTATTTGTATGGATGCAAAACAGTTGCTGTGGGAAGGTGGATGACATCATGCAGGTTTACCTCGTCTTCAACACTTCTTCGCCTTCCTACACCAGTATGACTGTACTTGTGAAATATTAATGTCAACAAAAATTCAAACAGTGCCTGAACAAATGCATGCATAAGCTTCACATTTCACTGCCACATTTTTATTAATTTGTTATAATTAATACAGAAATTTAGGCACATGTAGACAGAAAAAGCTCTGAAGATGGAGATGTCTGTATCTACCTAAAAGTCCACATAGCTTTACAACTCAGAAAGAGTTGGTAAATAATATTATGCAGCAGACTTTTTATAAATTATGGTATTGCTTACATTCCATTTTGTGAGTTTTTGTTAAACCTATCACCCCCTTATATGTTTTGTAGTTTGTGATTTAAATTGGGGAAGTATTGCAAGCATAAGTCGCTGCTTTTGAAATCCTTGAACGAAGTAAAAGCATTGGCATACGCACATTAAGATGGAGTTCCTTAATGGAAGCCTTTGAAAATGCTTCATCTATCTGGACTGTAAACTGCAGCGTACGCACAATAATGTAATGAAGTTATAGTCTAAGGTTTAGGAGACTGTCTTCCTCCGTAATGATGATTCATACCCATGACTGGTTCTCAGAGCTTCTCGTCCTGGTCCAGGCTGTCAGTCATCACATAATCTGTGTTGTTTAACTGGTTGTTACTGATTTGTCGTTGCTTAGTAGCCCTACTGTGTTTCAGTATGTTGAGTGTCTCATTGTGTTTTTTTTTTTTATACCCAGATCTCAGTGACCTCTTTCACTGTGTGATCCATGTACCCTGCTTTACCAGTCGGTACAATTTTGTTCTTGAAATTTTGGGTGGTTTTTATCAGTGCTGTGTTGGTCACCAGCAGCTTGTCCAGACAAGCCTGGAGAGTGTCTCTTTGTAATATTATAATGCATTACAATAACAAATCAGGTTTTTTTTTCAAGAAGTAATGATACTTGTCACGTTAATGAAATTGTCTTGATGCAGTGATTTAAAATTGACTAAATGTAGATTAAGTACATTTACCAGTGTAGGTTTTTAAGAATACGCATTGGGGAAGAAAAAGGAGATTTAGGAGGGTAGGCCAGTAACCTGTAAGTGAAGTAGGGGGATGGGAAACTAATCCAGTACTTCAGACATTCATTGACTTGTAGAATTATTTCATTGTATGATGTTTTTAGCCAGTAGCACGAAGCGCCAAACTTTTTTTTATCTTTAGGGCAGGCCTACTTAAACAGTCTATATAATATTTGTACATTGCGATTTTCTCTTTTGTAATTCCAGTAGTCATTTAGCACAGGGAAATTTATTGTCAGCGTTTGACAAGTGCTTTAAATATGGAGTCTTCCCTCAATGCTCAAAGTGTGGGTAGGATATATTAGGCATTCATTGTAACCTGATCTCTGCAATTTGAACTCCACTGGTCTTGTTATGTGTAATATTTATAGCTGATATAGATAAATGTAATTTTGTTAGTGATCACCTCCTAATGCCACAGTAATTTCTTTACTGCAAAATTTTTCATTAGTTGTGTAAACTGTCAAAAAACTAACCAAAGATAAATGCTGTATATTAATAATTCTATAGGTAGACGGGCACTGTTGAGACAATTGAAGCTCATATAGTGATGCATCTATCCATAGAGTTTCAAAATTTTTGTAGTAGAAGAAACACACATTACATATTTTATTGGGTATTCAGTGTAAATTTATACATTTCACCAGTTATTCATTTACTAGTCAGGAATGTTGGATTGCATTTCTAAATTTAGATTAAAATTGTATTTAAAATATGTTGCAAGACATTACATTTAGTGGTGTTGGCGATTTGGAATGAAATCTAATACCTCATCATTCTAGGGAAGAAAAAATGATTGCTGTCATTCACTTTCCTTTGCATAACATGTTTGCATCTGGCAACTAAGAGACTGCAATTGAAACTATAGTTAAATGTTTGATTGCATTCTTTTCTTGCAGTAAATCTGACATTGTGCTTCCACGTTGGCTTGCATCTGTCAGAATGATAACAGTTTCTTTCTTCTAATAATGATAATAATAATATTAAAATCACAATGTATCACTGCCACGTGCACGACACTTAAAAATGAGTTCCTTCCCTGTCCCTTCCTGTTTCTCAAACTTTGTACTGTGATTTGCTGTTTGTATGCTACAAGATACTGCCCAGTAATTCCATGATTTAGTTAAATTTAAGGTGAACACAATTTATATTGATATTTATTGAAATGTTTGCTCATTTCTAATAACAACAATTTTACTTTGCTCTGAGCTGCCAAAGCCAAGGGATATGTGCCGTTCAGAAATTTTTCATCAGTTGGTGCTTGGGTGTCTTTTGTGATTATTGCTACCCCAAGTATTAATTTAAGCCTGGGTTAAATTTCTGAATATATTTTGAAATGTAGTTATGTCTTTTCATGGAGTATTGTATTGATGTCCATTGAAAATCATCTACAAAGAATTGTCAACTGCCTTATGAATGATTATCATGTGTGTTATGCATTATAGTGACAAAAAATAAATCAAGTATTTAAATATGATTAGTGATTATCATCATTATACATCCTTCAAATATCTCCTACCTGCAATTTATCACATCCTTTGTCAGAATTAACTTTCAGCTCATATCAAATTTCTTTATTTACATTTCCATATTTTTCTCTTCTTCTTCCGTTTCTTGACCGTTCCTTCGGTCTTTCGGTGCCTAATATTTTCTTCCATTCTTCTCTATTTTCCCATCCTTCTGGAGGTAGTTTCCACACTATCATGATTCTTGTAATTCCAGCGTTCCATCCTGGTCTTGGTCCTCCTCTCTTCCTTCTCTCTTTTGGTTGCCATTTCATAGTCATTTTTGGTAACCTTTCCTCCTCCATCCTTTGCACATGTCCGTACCAAATCAGTTGTCTTTTCTCTATCTCCTCTATTATATCTCGATCCACCCTCATGATTTCTCTAATCCTTTCTTTCCTCACTCCCTCTCTTCTGGATATTCCAGCCGCTCTTCTTAGGAAATCCATTTCCATTATTCTCATCTTATTTTTTTTTGTTCCGAGAGTTGCCATATTTTTCTCAAAATTAGTTTATTAAAATTTGTCCTCATCAATGCTTGTTTGATAATTTAATTTACTTAGGATATGCATTTTAGATTACAGCCTTTCCAAGTCACATTTTATGCGCTAAAGAAGAAGAAATTAGCAAGTGCTGTTGGTAACAAATTATAATAATTTACTTATATAAAGCCCGGTTCTTTTGGGAAGGGGGACTGAAGATCAAAATACAATGTCTCTGCAATGTGGAAATATTTCTAACTTGTTTGACATGTAAGTAGGATGTTAAATAAGTGCATGTGTCATTCTCAGTGTTCACATGATTTAACCTACAAATACTTTGACTTATAAACTGAAAAGTTTGGTTATGTTCATATACAGCTGACCAGAACATGACCGAACTCATCAACACAATACCTATAAGGCAGAATCTCTATAATATGTCATGTCAGGAAATTATAACTGAACTGAATGATACAGATTTCTTGTTTCATTGTTTTATTGCTGCATTCATAACAATATAAAGAAAAACCCTATGATGGATGATTGTTTGCTGAAACATCTAGGGCAGATACAGTGTTCTTGTATCTGAAGATGTGATGGAGAGGCCAATTTTAAGACTTCACAGTTTCAAATGTTCTTGGATTGAATTCTAAGAATTACACATGGGGCCATAATGGTTACATAGCCAAAATATATAATAATAATGAAGATGTTGAATGACTTCAGATGTTGGACCTAAATTTATCTTAAGATATATAAAATCACTGCTTGGAATGGCTGCAAGTCTGTTACTAGTATTTAGCAAACATTGTTCTTATTCAGTAGTGGTCAAAGGTTTCATAAAGTCTTGAGGGAAGATGGTAAAATCGTGAAGTGGTGGCTTCAGAGTGGCGGTGTGGGGCACAGTTTGAGAAATTATCCAGTGGGATGGGATATTTGTGGTTGTTGGAACTGGGGTGTCTGTGACACATAATCCTGTGGCTTCTTCTTCTGAGGTCTTGGTTGTGCTGGTACTACTGCTGTTGAAGGAAAAAGTGGTGTGCAGCTGTTGCTGTGTGGTGCTGGTTGTCTCACAGGGTGTATAGAATATTTCAATGTCATCCAGGCCAATGTTTCCATATGTGCAGGTCTGGTTGAAGCCGGACAGGAAGATCAGCTGGAGAAAAACCATGGTTTTAGATGTGAATGTAAACACTTGAGCAGAGAATCACTTGATTAGTATTGCTATATGACATGTAATAACACACTGATCCAGTCACCCAAACACTCATTTCACATTACAAAGTGTTCTTTGAGCAGTTGCTGTTCAACTGAACAAAACATTTACCATTTACTTTTCTTACACAATGGTTCAATCCTGTCATCACAGAAACTCATAGTTTGACTCTGTCTTGAGATGGGTCAATCCAACTTAAATACACAGAATTTATATGTCTAAGATTTATTGCAGTATTATACTCTGAAAAATGGTTTATTTCTGTGCGATTTTCGAAGAATAATTTTGTATGTATGGTATGTCTTATTTCTCCCATGTGCTACATATTTATATTTTGTCCTTGGGGTTAACATGTAAGTACTATTAATAGCATCATTTTCAACCAATCTGATACCAGTATTTTAAATTAAGACATGTTTCGTTTTTCGGAATATAATCGTGAAAATGTTGGCTTTGTGTGTTATTTACCAGCATTTCGGAGAAACTTTAAGGACTAGGTGAGATTTTAGGTTCTCACGGCGGCGAGTTTAAAGATTCTAGATTGTTGCGACTTGTAGTCTAGTAGAAGGAAAATTACCTTGTTGATGGAGGCAGGTAGCCCCTATAAAACTTTAGTAAACTTCTACCATACTACACGGTGTAAAAACATAAAATACAGCCATAGTTATCTTTAGGACTAGATGGAGGCAGTTTGCTGTTTTAAAAAGCTGGCATCTACCTACAAGTCCACGTGGCGTTAAAATTCAAAAGATTAAATATCGACATCTTCACCAACTTGAGAACCTCAAATTTCATGTGCCACGTATGCTTACCTTGAACGGCCTAGTTACGTACAGTGAAACTTCTACGTGGTTCCACTTTCCTGTGACAGTCTCGTTACCCCATAGCTCGTACATCGTCTCAGGGTCGTAGAATAGTTGAGTGGAGCTGCTGAGGTAAGCCTGCGACAACTTGATGTACATACTGCAGTCTCCTTGCAGCAAGTACCAGAAGCGAACACACCCCATTGGGCCCCTTTTGTCTTGCTCAGATACCCCGTGGAAGTTAACGGACATGAAATATCCAGGAGTGACGCCAGCCTTCTCGAACGACGAATACACATAACCATCTGCATAAAGTTATTTATTAACGGACTTGTGGAACTTAAACAGTAGTAACGTATTCATAACAAAACAATTAAACGATATACTGTCCTTGGCGGATTTGAAGGGTGAAGGCATCCAAGCCAAATCAATTATAGCCTACGGACTTTTAATCAGGGCAATGGCAATGATATGAACTAAATGAGAAAGTGTTATTTATAACAAAGCCATCTGCACCGCACGGGTATTGATCCACAGACTTCGAAACCGATAACTGTATAAACTGGATGATATAACGATAATTTTAAAAGTTTGGAACTGTTTGATATGGATTCCGTTTTCAGGTGTACCCTTATATTTAACAGCTATAACGCCTGAAATCTTCGAATACGGAATATTTTTCGGCTTATCACCGATTTGTATAATGAATTACTGGAACATACGCTCGCCCGCTTGCCAGAGGCGAAATTATGTAATTAGCTGACGAGTATACTTCGGCTTGACGTACTACTTTTCAAAAGCATATTTGTTAATCTAAGGTTTTACTTTGTATTTTTTACGTGAAGAGCGATCTCCACAGATATTCCACTGAAACACTGCCTTGTTCACTGGTGAACCGGAACTCTGTCACAGGGATATAAATTTTTAGTACCTCTTATAAGTTAACCTTATTTTCTTATGGAGTGATACTTGACTCGAATAGGGCAATATCTTTCAGCGGTAAGTAATGCAGTTCCTGCCGTGAGCACACTGTGTATGTATATCATTTTTGGGAAGGAAGACTTTTTAACTTATTTTTAATTCAGATGTACATGGTTCGAGAAATCGGTGTTGATTTCCGTCACATGAAACCGTTCGAGAAATCTCGACTGAAACGCCTGCGTCGACAGCGCTTTGTAGAGTCGCGGAACTAAAACTGTTGTCGGCTTACGGACAGAAGGTGTGAGGGGAGGAGGAGTTGTCGTGGTGACTGTTTTGCTTTCTAAGTGATTTTATGTTATTCTGAAAAATCGTTTAAATAAAATGAATAAGGTAGGAGCATCTAGTACGTTTTACGAATAGCTTGATACTTAAGATCCGATGTCATTTAAGAATTTCTGCCTGGAGACGTAAGACACCAACATAACACTTAGAAATCTCTGTGTTGAACTTTGTAGTTTCTGGGCCAATTACTTTTGGATAATGGTATCACTCAGTACCTGAACTGTTCACTGTCCTCCAACTCCAAACAGACGAGCCTCCGTTCTTGAAACCGCAGGTGTCCTGGTTGAAATTGCAGATCTCGTCGTACGGGAATCCTGGCTTTGGATTGTTACCTGCGAGATACATAACCTGATTAATTCCATGGCAATTGCAAGTGTGAAATTCTCTATTCAAATCCTTTGTTATATAAGTTTGTGGTATGAAGTATGTGGAATATTCCTACAACAATAAGAACTGTTTCTCATGAAATTGTCATTAGCCATTTAAAATCCAGTGGTAAATATAGATACGTACCAATTGCCTTAACAGTAAGTAAATCTGCATTTTCCCCATAGAGTAAGGAATCAAAAAGCCTGAAATTGATTTGCCCCTCCACCTCTTCGTTAAATGCAGTGTCTCTCATAACTGTTCTCACTTTAAAATCTTCTCAGGCCATCACTTGCTGCGGCTGATCGCCCGAGAAGGTTTTATTGAGTTACGTCGCCGCGAAAGGTTCACATCATATGTTCCCACTCTCTCTCGCGCGCTCTCTCATTCTCTTTCTGTCTCTTCTAAAAGTTACGTTTCAGAATCGAGAGAGACTTTTCAGGAAGTTTAATTCTCTTTATATATATATACAATTTAATATAAACCTAAAATGTGAAATTCTGCTTCTGCCAGGAATCAATCAACCTACAACCAGGTCAGGGTCTTTACTGTCGATCACGGCTTCAGAGTTTGGTAAGTCTTAAATATTGCAAATAATATATTTTAAAGCAAATACTTATAAAATGGTATAATGAAGATCGACATTCTTAATTTGTCCAGGCTATTTAGGCATATCTTCAATTAGACGTCTGCTCCATCTCACCAATTGTGCCTCACGAAGGCAATCCTCATGAATCTGTCGTATTGTTATGTTTCTAGTGCATGGAGAGGTTTTAACGGTTCTCTTGAGTAGGTTACACAAAAATTAATGTGTAACCTACTATCTGTTTCAGCAGAGAATTGACTTGACCTTGAAGTCATGATGTCATGCTGAATGGTGTCTTAAAAAATTGTTTATTACTAAAAGTGGTCCCATTGTTTGAACAAACTTGGGTGTGTTACTCGACTAATGTGTTAAATTATGTAAACTATGAAATAATCAAAATACAATAATGACAAGAAACACCAAAAAGGAAGACAACTAATGGAGAACAGAGAATTCTATACATCGTATCAGGACGGCTGTGCACCTGCAGAAATCGGTGTTTCTGTTCGAAGGTCGATTCAGTTCTACTCTCAGACAGACCGTTCAAGACCACGGCGTCATAACTCAGGATACCACAGTCCACAGATAACAAGAATTTATAAAATAATGTTGGTAGTTGAGCAGGGAATTGTGAGCAGGGAACAATGGAAGAAAACAACAGAATACGAAAGAATGAAAGCTTAGGAATGTGAGGAAGAGTGAGAAAAGAATTAAAACAAGAAAGAATGATAGAAGAACATGCAAAATTGTATTTTGTATTACCCTTGCACTGGTACAGTTTCTGAATGCGACGAATGTCGCTGGCACTGAGGCCCGGCTTCTTCCAGATCGGCCCGATCACCACACCCGGCTTCTTCGCTTGTACCGTAGGCGACACGCCATCCTGCAAAGGATTATGGGATTTCACTTGTGTGCGTATACATCGCGCTATAATTTACTGACAGATGGTGCTAACAAAGCTTTACTCTGTCTTAACATTTCCAGTGTAGAAAAAGATAAATGTGATCTGAGGTTCTCACGGCAAGTGGCTGTCTCTGCGTTGTTGCACCGTGAAGTCAGGAAACACTTGACTGACGTTTCAGAGGTGATTGCTGCTTCCGTTATCAGTTATGGTGATGAGACAGAGATGGTAATGAAACTTAGGTGAATGTAGCTGACACATATGTTATCCTTGAAGTTTGTAGGGTATACGTACCTTGGAGAAAGCATATTCGTCATACATCATTATGGACTTGTAGTCGAAATTCTCGTTGAGTGTGTCGACAGTGGACTGGTCGTGTTTGGCGAAAGCTGATGCAAAACCCTGCACGTGAAACGTCGAAAGAAGTTAATTACAGCCCAAGAAAGTAGTAGGATAATTATTTAAAAAAAATTAACGGTCAATTTATATAGGCCTACTTCCGCCATATCTGTTATCTCACTGATAGTTTAATTTGAAATGCACCTGATTTGAATTTCGGCTATTCTGAGGATTTCATCGGCCTCTGAAGGAGCACAAACCTTACCCTGATACATTTTTCTTTTCATCGCTGTATTATCTTCTTGGTACACACTCATTTCTCCACTGGATGCTATGACCTAGCTGATTAAGTCGTACTGCAGCTGGTGTGGAGTACAAAATATAATTCCTTAGTTTCTGTAACTAATCCGTAGTGTGTAGAATGATTCCAATATTTCACTTGTGCTCTGTGCCCAATCACCACGCCAAGATGGCGCGAGTGAAACTGATATTGCTACTATGTATAGGCGAGTAGTTTGTTTCGGCTGCTTTGCCCCCCAAGAACATAATTCCCTCCAGGAAACTACCGCGATGGGTTCTTAAATTAAACCACGGCCACTTTCTTAGAAATCATTTACAGTTGTTATTTGTTGATAATGCTGCCATTGGACGATAAATGGTATGTCACTGACAGTATAGTTAAATAAACCACGTGATTTGTAACACTTACGGAGATGATGTTGCTCCAGTACACGTAAATCCAGCTGTCGCGATCCGGACGGTTCATCTCGTGCCAGAATCCAATCGCGTGTCCCAGTTCGTGGATCACAATTCCCAGGTACCAGCATCGCTGTCCAAGCGATAGACGTTGTTCACCATTCCCCGTGCGTCCCACTGGGGACCAGCAGGCCCCACTGAGCAATACGTCACACATATTACTGGCTTCACTTTCTTGCTTTAAAACTGAAGAGTTGTGAAACCGTATACATGTACGCGTGTGTGTTTCCCCTAATAACTTTTAAACTTCGGATTGGCTTCATACCGCTAAAGTCATCCAGCCGTTTAATTCTTAATTCCCATTAAAATCATAAAAGCCACGCGAATCGCTGAGGTGAAAGCATTGTACAGGATAACAAAATGGTCGTCGCACCACACGATTTTACGTTGTGTTTTTTGGCAAGAATCTGTTTTCAGTAGCCGTGAAGATGTTTTAAATTTAATTAATTTTATTAAGAAATACCTCAAGTTTTGTAATTTAAGCGCGATTTATAAAGACACTGCTGCAATAAATTGCATTACTCTTCAACACATAAAAATATTATTTTCGTTAACTTCTACGGGTCTTAGGCTACCCTAATTGGTATAATAATCTGTTTTGTAGGATTTATTTGTTAGGGAATGGGCTAATCGTAAGGCTTCTACATACACAGAACCACCTAACTTACACGTAAATACATTTACACTCTGAATGGGGTTCGAACCCAATACCGAACGAGTGTTATATCTCTCACACTGTTTATCGAAACCAGAATTGTTTACAGAAAGTTTCTTAAAGGGAAGTAAAATTTAATTAGAAGTTTGTGGTTTCTGTTAACGCAGACATTATTACCTGTCCGGATTGAAGAAAATGTTGACGTAATTTTTTTCGCCCGTCCATTCTTTGAATCTGATACAAGAATGCTGATGATAATGGTCCATTGCCTTCATTAGTATCTCGCACTGAGGAGATTCTGGACACCCTGAAATGACACATAAATACGACGAGAAATGTAAAGTAGCTCTAGTTTCATTTTCGGCTTTTCTTGCCGAGCAACTAATGCTTTGAGACAATATTTTTTTGCAGATATTTTTTTCTATTTAATTATAACATGATTCGACCTCAAACTTCGACAAAAGTTCGAAATTTTTGTGTGGCATTCTCTCATCCTTTTATTGCATGTGCTACTTCATGTCGTCTTGCTTGTATATCATCATATTTATCATCATTCAATTCAAAACAAATCCCAGTGTACTTAAAACACGAAAATGAGATGGAAGAAAGATATATAGAAAAAATACATTAATTCCCGTTTTGTAAAAGAGAGTCATTTTTATAAGAGTCGTTTGTTAAGAGGAAATCAGTTAAAATAATTAAAAGACAATATTAAAAATACGGTGATTTCTGATAAAATTTATGCAAGTATGGTGTGATGAGAAGTAAATATAGTATAATACACGTGTCTTATGTATTAATTTTAATTCAATGGAACGAAGTAGAAAGTAGGAAGCAATTAAGACGTGATATTCAAAATAAAACTATTTGAATGAGGATGGTCGGCCTTCGGTCTAGGATTTTAACCCCAGGTTTCCCGTATGTGAAGTGCGGGTGGCAGCCACTGAACCGCAGCGTTCGGTAGAATAAGATTTACAATGACTGTTGTAAAACTTTATTCAAAGAAGTGATTCAACTTACCGACATCATCTTCTGTTTTATATATGACTGTTCCATATTGCCATAGCAGTTCCGGGTCAGCAACTGCGTTTTTCATCTATAAAACAAACGAACATACATTACGTTTTCGATTACTAGTGCAGTTTATCTGAGAAGATCAAGGAACTGAGTCAGATCTCTGCCTTCTGCGCCCACTATTTCACCCACTGAAGTGCAGATGTATTTATCCATTCATTCGTGAGTTATTCAACGACGCTGTCAGTAGCTTAGACTGCATAACATCGAATGATAAAGTGTTTGATGAATAATAAATTGGAAAGGATACGGAAGAAATGCGCTATCCTCCCGTTTGCCTTGCAGCACTGAGAAAAACCACGAACAACCTAACTCAGGACATCTGGTCTCCTAGTCGAGATCTGAACCAGGGATCTTCCGAATACAAAGCAGGAGTAGTGCCAAATCGGTTGCGACGGTTGATTTTGGCTACCGTCATCAGGGCGATCGCCCTGATGATGGATGCAGCAAGGACCTCTGAAACGACGGTGCAAAAACCCAGAAGACAGCCATCTTCATACTCGCCACTGTGAGAACGTGAAATATCACACAGTACCAACTAATATTTATGTAAAATAGCACACGTGGTAATCTAGTTTGATACTTACGTCCACGCTAGGAACGATATCTCCTTCGAAAAACCCTCTGTTGTAGAGTCCAGCGTCGGTGCCCGGTCCAATAGGGTGATATTTCCCTTTCAGTGGATTACCACTGAATGTGGGAAGGATATACATCAGGCAGGATATTCTTAGACCCAGTACGAAGCCCTCTTTAAGTTCCATTGTGTCAAACTCCGGATATTACGTTTGCAACAGAGAGGAGCTATTAAAACATTCAAATAAAATATCACGGTTCATAAAATTGTAGATTATAAATTATTTTAAAAAAAGATCGCGTCCTCGTTTACACTTGAACAAATTCTGTCGTGATTTCCCATAGGAACTTCTGTATTTATATGTCTCGCGAGTCATGACCATGCAGGGCGCATGTGTAATAAGCACCTCGTCTGACGCAAAGGCTGGTTCGATGAACTGATTTCACAATGAATTTTAAATATCAGAACTTCGCATCCCTGTGCAGAATATTAGAACGAAATTAAGAAAATAAGGTCAACAATTTAGTCATTATACTTCCTTACGTCGCTCTGAATGGAACTGTGCTTTAATTAGTGTTTGGGCAAGTTAGAGACGAGACGGGACACCCTCTGCGTGGGAGTGGCGCATAATTTTACATGTCAATTGTCGTCGATTTACATAAATGTGATCTTAAAGACATGGTCACTCACAAATCTATTCTTTCAAATTTCAGAATATGTAAGCATCAATCAAATATGACCCCCCCCCAAAAAAAAAAAAAAAGAGGTTATCCCATCAGTATCTGACTAAAAACATTTCTGATATCCAGGCCTTTTCACGGTCTTTTATGAATTCTGATGCATTTCATAATTTGCACTCTTTATTAAATGTTAGTGTGATAAAATTAAGGAGGATGGAATAGGCGGGGAATGTGGTATAAATAGAAGAGTTGAAAATTGAATATATTTTTCGTTCGCAATCTAAAGGAAAGCGATATGTAGGGAGACCTAGACGTAAATGTAAGGGTAATATTAAAATGTGTCTTAAAGAGAGTAGAAAGATTTGAACTGGATTCAGGATAAGAATGGTAACAGTAATGTACCTTCGGATTCCATAAAAGATGAGGAATTTCATGACTAATTGAGCAACTATTAGGTTCTCAGGAAGAAGTATAGTCCATAAAGGAACCTACACGAAAATGAACTGGCTACTCTAGTGAAATTTTCACCTTGACTATACCTTGATTTTAACATTATGAAAAAAAACAGGGCTTTATTTTTCTACAAGAAACGCGTAGAGTAGATGTGTCAGTATCAATGTTTTTGGTGAATTTGCCTTAGGATAATATTGAACCATTAAATATCTGCCGTTGGGTCTACATGTTTCATTTTTGCTATCCATGTAAATTATTTGCCTTTTGCACCAACGAGCGAATCACACTTTGGAAAGAATTGCTCTTAGGTTTTATGAAAATGGTTACATCAGTTACAACAGTTCGTGATAAGTGTCTTCCGACTTCATCTTGCATCTTCCATCAAACTGAATTCTACGTTACATAAATGGTGTTGGATAATGTTTCGACACTCTCCTTTCGGGGCAGGGAGCATGACAGTGAATAATTTATCAGTCGGAGTACAAAGACTGAGCTAGCATTGTTCTCTTCAAGTCTCTGACACAAAACATGGCATATTAGTATTCTGTGTGTCACACAGTATATACTTTCTTTTCTGGAATTTTCCACTCCGAAAGAGAATTCTCGTAATGATTCAGTCTACTGAATAGAATTAGAATTTGTAGTCTTAGCGGGAATAAGATTTACGAATCCCAAAAATTCCTGGCAGAGTATATTTATTCACTGGCGAAATTGGCGTATTTAGGGTCTATGTATACATTAATATAGGCCTATATTCCTTAAGGGAGATCCGTGCAAACTTTTGGATCAGAAGTCCAAATTCGTGGATATATTTCACTTTTCCTGATGAACCTCTAGGGTAAACATAGGCAAATATCGGGACGACAACCCCACGTCGCTTTGTAACCCAGAAGACAGTCGTTCATACTCGTCACCGTGAGAATCTGAAGTATAAGATGTTTTGAAATTTCCTTAATGGCAGGCTACCCAACTACCATTTATGTATGCCGGGTATATGTAGTTCATCTTATAAATCACAGTATGAATACGAACTAACGTCTTGGTGTGACATATACGAGTGCTTTGAAGGATGTTTATCGTATTACGAGGACTCACACTGGCACATAAAGATGAGGCTGTTCGAAGCAGACGTCACATATTTTTTTAGCTGTTGAATTTTAGTGATGAATATTTTAAATCCGGCGTCTGTAACAGTAAAAATACACTAGAGAAGTGGCAATAAATTTATCGTTTGATGATCCATATTTGGAATAACCTATTACTTCTATTTGCTCAGAATTATTTGGAAAGCAAATCACATGTCACATAAAATTCAGTTAATTTATTATAAAATTTTATTTAAGGAACTCCTTAGCCAAATAAAAAGAACCTATTCAGAGATGCTGAGCAAAGTAAGCCTATACTTTTTACAAATTAATGCTGTAGGCCAATATCGTGTGACTCATCGCCCTGATAATGGAGGCAGCAAACATATTTGAAATGAAGATCAATTTCTACCAGACTACATGGCGTAGTATGCCAGAAGACAGCTGTTTTCATAATCGTCGCCGTGATAACCTGAAATCTCCCTCAGGAATTTATTAATTTAAGATAAATTGCCGTAATAAGTCGAATGTAAAGATTCAGAAGTTTGCATGCTCAGACATTTTGCACTCGATGTAACAAAGAAAGGCCTATATAATGCATTGTACTACTTGATTTAGGTTTCTTGCGGATTGATTTTCAGAAATCATTCTCTATGACTTGTATCTCGTTTTAACGAACCAATCAGACGGGTAAGAGTGACATTTCTGCTCTTTCACATGTATACTATGACAAGTGACGCACACATGCGTTCACTATATGAAGAGGCAATAAAATTTGAAAACACTTCGTTTGGCAAACTTGACACAGCATTTTGACCCAATCATAAAGCCATTATATTATTTGAGGTTGAGTATGCTCTAAATACAATATGGGTGCAGCCTACGGGGCAATGCATTGACCTATAGTACGGCTTTATTACGTCAGTTTCTGACATGCAGGAATTAATGGTATTTTTCGTTGCTTTGTTGTCTCGAGAAGTCACATACCCCTGTTCCTATGCCGCTTAATAGATTTATGACACTATAGATCGATAGGAAAATTCGATTAAAGTTGCGGACAAAAATCAAAATGGGGACTGAGCATGAACTGAAGTCTGTAATTATATTCGTCTGAAGAGGCAAACGAAAGTGTGAAACATCTCGTTCAGAACATCCTGTCCCAGAACAGGTTTTTAACAATTTTGTAGTCTAGAGCACATCCGTTCTATCATACATTTCCGCGACAAAGCTGATACCTGACCCCATCTTACACAGAACTGCCACAGCACATATTGATGAAAAGGTAAATCATTTCATACATGAAGATTATTTCTTTAAGGCTTAAATTTGAAGACTTGTGACGATGGTGTATCATTCAAACAAGTTTTTAGACATTACCCGTAATCCTATTTTTAATTATACGACGTTTCGGAGACTGGAATTTGTCTCCAGTCCTCAGGCAAAACCTGCTCTGCTGGACTCAATCGCTTTCCAGAGATAAGGGCCCAAACTATTATTATTTATTATGATCAAAATTGTTTATGTATGACCGGCCATTTCTTAAAACAACAGAAGTTTGATTTGACCTTCGTGTGAAATTTGTATTGCGCTGAAAAGGTCAATATTGAATTCACCCTACAATTTTCAGTGAACACCCCCCCCACCCAGTAACAAGTTTAACCTAAATTCCTTAAATGATTTCACAGATTACATTTGCGGCTAAACGTACATTCGGGTCTTACCCATTGTGCACTTCATGTAAAGAAAGTACGAAAGACGAAGAATGAAATTAAGAAGTAGTTTATTTGCTGTAGAGTGTGTACAGACAAACAAGAGCAGTATGTCTGCCGTTTGCAAAACAGCTGAAATGAGACCTTGCTGGCATTTAATTTGTGTTCATAAAACATGTGTGTCATAAGGACATGCGACCCATGTGATTATGTCATAGACTCTTAAACACAATCTCAGCCTTCTGGGGTAGCTGTGAGCAAATGCACAGTAGAACTGTGTAGAAGACATCAGGATCCACGCGCCACATGTTGGTACAAAGAAAATTAATGGCGAGGCGTCGTGTGATTTAGGGTTCCGAAGGAATAGGCCTCCTAAGTAAGAATATTTTAATAGGTGTTCATAAATTACTTTCCGGTCGACTTTTCTTACCCCAGACCAACCGTTCAGAACACAAATTTTACGTGACAACTTTTTAGTACTTTTACTTGTTTAATTTTTACAGATTTGTTATATTTTATGCTCTCTGAAGCTCAGCAAACCAAGATACAAATATTACGTTATTATTATTTAGTGTTCTGTCTGACAACAGGTCCGTTGTTCTGCCCAAAAAGAGTTCGCCAGTTTTCCATATTCTCAGCTTCTCGTTTTAATTCCTGAAACTTCATCTTCTTTAAAAGTTTGTCTACAAAATAGGCCTTCCTTTTATTTTAGTCTCAAATGTCAAATTAGCATGATTGTAGCAATAACTTTATGGGACTTTCCTAATTTCATAATAGTCTACTCGGAAAAATCTTTGACAACTTAAATATTTCCTGCTTTTCCAATTTTATTTTATTACTGCTGTAAATTTCACTCTTAACCTTGGATATCTATGTAATGTGTGTTGGAAATGCTTATTGACATCCATATGTAAATACACTTTGTTTTACTTAAAAAGGTACACCTCAAATAGGTTATGATTATTTATAATCTTGCACAAGGAGGGATTATTAGTCTATATTCACATTACTTGCACCTGCAAATCAGCTGAAATAAAATGTATCAGAATAAACAAAATTAAAAACAAAGATATATATATATATTTAGCTCCTTATATATAATCAATTTCAAAATTTAGACTATTTTAACAGAATAGACGTTTCCACACATTTAAATGCTGCAATCAATTTTGGGGTATGTACAGTATGACACAGCAACTACATAATTGACAATGCCAGACTTGGATAAGATTCGTCTCGTTTTCACCTGAAAATGATCAGCCAGTATTCAAACAGGTTGTTTCATTATGCATGTAATAGTGAGACTGTGATATCACGTCTTAGAATTAAACAAGTTGCCTAATATGATTCATAAACTTAGCGATTTGCATTGAAAGCATTTAAA